AGGAAGGAAGGAAGGAAGGAAGGAAGGAAGGAAGGAAGGAAGGAAGGAAGGAATTTCCTTCATGGCTGGGCCAGCCCAGACTTATTAGAATGAAAAATGGATCTAATGTCCTAATAAGGCAAATTATGACACTAAAGTCCACTCCAGATGATGCTTTACTTTCCAAACATTTCATGAACTAATGATTTCTTCATACTACCCTTTGGCTTCTGACCTTGACTCTTGGTATTCCCCAAGTCCGTGACTACAATGCACAAGTGTGACAGTTGATAAGCTAGCCACAGAATTCACTGTGGCAAGTTATCTCATCTGTCATCCTCACCAAAAATGGAGACATTTCAACCCTTATGACCGCTTATGACATGAGTTCAGTGTCTGGTGAAATTTCTGAAGAAGTTGCATGGCTGGGAGGATATGGAGAACAGTTGAGCAATATTTCCACTGAGCAGAAATCCAGGCTTCAGTGCCACCACATATAATTCTTTATGCCTCCTGATGCTTGGAGGAGGCAGGGCAACTGATGCAAAATTCAAATCTGGGCAGATATGCCTGGGAGTTTTCTACCTGAGGAGTTCACCCCATCACCAATATTGCTCTCTTTCCCTTGAGGCCCATTCTGGTTCTCTCTGCTCCCTTATGGCAAGCAAGCAAACCTAGAGGGGACTGGGACCTACGAAATACCTTTGAGTACTGTCATGGTGCCCTCTTAATCTCAGGAGTCTCTCCCAGGATTCACGTCGGAAAGCTCCACACACCATGTCTTGGGGAGCTAGGAGAGCTGGCTTGCTGTTTCTAGTGGGATGCAGAGAAACTGCTAGAAGGGGCTGATTGACAGAGTGACGCCTTTTTGCCTCAGGAGTCAGGGTCCCAGGTGACATCCAGAGATGTAAGAAGCCTCCAGATTTAGAGCTGCTTGATCAGGAGCCCTGTCACATTTGACAGCCGAAAAGCCTTTTTACTGCAACTAACATCCACTCCCTGAGAGTATGAGGGAAATTTCAAAACCACGTGCCTCAATTCTTCTGGATAGAGAGTAGGGAAAAAAAAAACAACCAGGGGCAAAATAACAATTTAGTAAGGTAATGGAGCAAGTGAGTTGAAGTTTGAGTGCTAACTAAAATGTTCCATGATACTTTGGGAAAATCAAGGAAAACCTCCCTATCTATTCAGACAAACTTGTTGCTGTTATTATAATCTTTTTGAACATCCAAAGCATGCCTGTTTGCCTTGATAATCTGTACTGTGACTAAAGCAGTAAAGCTTACTTCTGAGTAGACATAACAGTATGATTGTGCTGTAAGAGGAATGACTTTTAAAATGAAAAATTGCCAGCGGACACTTTCATGCCTATAAACTGTGAAATCCAGAATTTGGGAGACTCATAAAAGAAAACTGAAATATCCTTCTCTCCCATTTATAGTTTTAGTTATGTATTCAAATGCACTTATGCATTCCTGAGATATTCATCAATATGCCCCAATTAGACTGACTGGGGAGAATTCTAATGCAAACAATGCATGATAAACACAGGATTGTAAATGGCAATTGAGAAATGAAGGATAAATAATGAACTTGTAATTGCAGATGATAAATTAGGCTGAATTAATTACCCTTTGGTGACTTGCATAATCTGGAACAGCTTGGAGAACATAGCATTTAAACTCAAGACAATCACAGCTCCTGTTGGGTTACTGGTGAGACATGTTCGTTCTGACTTGGAAAAACCCACATTTTCTTTACTCCCATGTTTTGTTAAGATATGTGGGGAGGAGAGACTGTATTGCCCTTTTCATTAATACATTTGTATAAGTCTTCTAGGTGTGCTAATATTAAATGCAGAGTGTGTAAGGACCTTTCCCTACTTGCACCTACCCATGGAGTAAACATGTCCTGGCAACATCTTTTTTGTATCCTATCTCCATGACATGTCCTTCATCTTGTCTTCAGTCCACAACTGAAACAGGCTCAGATTATCCTTAGCTATACTAGTGTTGAAGTATTCTTTTTCCTACTTATTCTAAGAACTTCCAGGGATTTAGGAACTCTTACACCTTGTCACCCATTATCTTGGAGGAAAGTTAGGGGACCAGCATCAACTTGAAACAGAGGCAGGATAGGAATCAGCAATATGGATAGCAAATTTTATGCCAGGACAGTTTTCTGTTGATTCAAGGATAGGTGGAAAGGATTTTGCCTCAGCAATAAAGATCCTACAGTAAGTGGGACTATATGATGGCCTTAAAAAAATTGTATCTATTATCTTAGATATACAGGTAGTTCTTGTTTAGCAACCATAATTGGGACTGGAAATTCGGTCCTTGAGTGAAGTGGTCGCTAAGTAAACTGACTGTGCTTATGACTGTGCTTACAATCTTACTTCAGCTTTCCTTTGCTTTACAGACCTGTGAAGGTCATAAACGTGAGGATGGATCACAAAGTTACTTTTTCATCACTGTCATAACTGTGAATGGTCACTAAACAAGGCAATTGCTAAACAAGGACTACCTGTACTGCTTTAAAAAAAAAATAGGATCTTTCCTTTTGCTGTATCTTCTCCTGCTTCCTGAAAAGACAGGAGACATGGTGAATGTGTGAGAGCATCAGGTATGGGGTTAGTTCTTGCGGAAACTAAAGCAAAGGAATGTTTGAAGGGGGGAAAAACACTCAACTCTCCTGCAGTTGTTTCAATATTAGCATCAACTACCAGAATGTGTCTCATAATGCACATGTGTATACATGAATGTCTGCAGGGCAAGCTGGTATGTTGCACAGACCTGAAGGTCCAGGCAAACTGTTGCATTATATCAGATTGTAGTGCCCAAGTTACAGCAAGTTGTCTCCAAGTCACAACAACCCAAGAAAGCGCCAGGATATGACTGGCTGCGGAGGACTTCCGCAGCCCAACTTGGGTGGGCCGGAGAGACTAATCAGTGTCTATTAAAGGAAAGTTTACTTGTGCTCTTGGGGTGTGGCAGCCAGAATGGTTTCAAATAGTAACTGCAAAGATTTGGGTGGGGGATCAGGAAGTTAGTATCCTGTTAAGGCTGCCAAGCTGCACTGAAAGACAGGAGATTTCCTCTAAGGAAAATACCACTTCAGTACAATGAAAAGTGGAGTCAGCAAGAGTGCTGGAATGCCTTATTAAGCCATGGTTTGTTTGAAGTAGAACTTTGGCAGCTGTTTTCAGTGACCCTTAAGAATTGCTCCAATGGATGAACTGTTAGTATATTCACATCTCCTGCTCATGAAGGACATTCTCCTTGGGCTCTGTAGGGGCTCTGCTATACTTAAGGCCCATTCACATGACCAATATGTACATGGTTTAAGGAAGCTGTTTTCCCCAGGAACTGCAATGTGGAACTTACAGTGTGGTGTTTTAATGATTATGGAGCTAAGAGGCTATATGGAGGCCATCACCATATAATGCAGAAAGAATGTTAAGAAAGAATGGGAGAAGGAATGGGAGGAGGAGGAAGAAGAGATTTCAACAGTCATTTATTCTATTTAAATTTTAAAGTTAGCTATGCTGGTGATATTGCGTAATATTGCAATACATTTCTCTAATGCAACATGCTTCTTTTCTTTTGCTTCTTCTGTGTCTCATAGCTCCTTTGTTCATAACAGCAACTCACAGACAGAAGCTTCTTTGAGAAGTTAATGTTCTATTAAATGTTGGGGGGAAATCAACAGCCTTGAACTCACTTGCCTGTTTGGTTACTTTCATGCAGAGCTTAACTCTGAATGTGCTAATTCCCAGAAACAAAGCTCAAAATTATTTTTTCCTCCTCTAATTACTTTACAGCTTTCTGCAACCTGGTGCCTCTGGTTGCTCAAGAAGTCCATGATATTTAAAAGAAACCACACTCGATGGTCATCTGGATGACCATAACTTTGCTCTCACAGAGGGACTTTTGAAAGATGAGGGTGCTCAGAAAGTGTGTTTATCTGCCCTTCTCTCTGTGCACGTCAGAAAATCCCTCAGTCTGATTTACTGAACCTATCCTCATGCTTGGAAAACCAACTTCAGGCAAACACCACTGTAAAAACTGCAGCTTCTGCAGATCATGAATAATTCGGACAATTCAAAGCTTTTTGTTCAAATAGGACAGCATGGCACTTATGTATGAGTAGAATAGGTGCATGATCCAAGCTCTGATTTTCAACTACTGGATTTTCAACCATTGGTTTTTGTAGTTGGAGGGAACTCAAGCCTTCAAGATATTTGGATCTCCTTTTGTACTCCCCCTCTAAACACAACTGCTGAAAATCAGTGGCCCAGTTGCCCACCATTTGGAGGCAGGATTGGAAACTGTCAAAGCTGTAATGTAAACCCTAAAATAAATTTCACACAGATTTAAAAGGAAGAAAAGAGACCCAATTGCCACCACCACCACCACCACCACTGTACTTAGCCTAATATGATAAAAAAGGAATATTTCCAACCCTAAAGACTGTGAGGCATATTTTAATGCTTTGATTGCACAGGCAGAGACACACTAAGAGAAATTCCATAGCTAAATCTCTCTCCTCTATGATCCCAGTTCTGACAGAGAACTAGTTCCTTGCTACATAGGTAGGGAAATGTCTGTGTCTCTTGTGGGTTTCATTCTTTTTTTCTCCATTGCAGGTGGGTGTCCTTGGTAATCCCTTTTTAAGCCTCTGAAATAACTACCTACATTAACTTCTGGCAATTCATGTGAAGAAAGAGGAAACATCAAATATCGAAGCAAACTTTGTGTTACAGGGAGTTTAAAAATGTTTTTTGGGAGGTAGGGTGGAGGGAGATTCTGGCTGTAATCACCTAATCTCTTGGAGCTGTGCTACTGTCCACAGCAAAGTGGGGAAGGTGTGGGCAAATCAACCCTTTCCAATTGCACCCTAAGTCAAAAGCACAACACTCTCATGTCTTCTGTCCAGCAGCAGAAGTGTGAAAAATGGAGCTGTGATTGGAAACGGTGCCTTTCATGGTATCCTGTAGCACTCCCAATGTTGCTTCATTTCTACTCCCAGCAATGGGGAGGGTTGCTGGGAAGGGCATTTCAGAAACTTCCAATGTTCATCAATTTCCGATTTCGAAATAGTATGGAAGTGTGCCATCTGTTTACTGCAGTCAAGGTCTCCCAGGGCTGCACTTGTCCTCTTTCTGTGACCCTGAGATTTCCAGCGGCCCACCAGTGGCCCAAACGTCTGATGGTCTCAGTTCAGGGGATCATGTGAATTGCCTTCCTGGAACCAGCCAATCTAGCAAAGGCCAGCCAGATCTGCTTCTGATAACCTAAGGAAAACAGCTCTCCCTTGTGCTGCAGGTCTCACTAGACCTTCTGCCACTCAACATACCTTTTTGAAGGCTAAGTAAACATATTGTGCCCAGGCATTTCACTAGTCCTCTGCAAGCAATGACCAGTTCAATTTACCTTTCTCCTCAGCCACCGTGCAATATTCCTTCTCAGCACCCGCTCATTACAGGGACTCTGTCTCCTCTCTAGGCACCAAATAGGCGGAAAGGCATTCAAAGCAAGACAAAAGACTTCCAGTTTTTATCCAGAAGGGCAGAAAAAGATATAATATAGTGCATAATTTCAGAAAGATGGAACCACGACACTTCTGTGCCGCATGTGCCAGATTTACATTTTTAAAAATCAGGCACCATTCTCTCATCGCATAAGACTGGTATACTGTACATTAAGTGAGGTGTGAATAAAATCATATGGTATTTCAAAATGTTATTGCCTAGTTAGTCTTTAAGCTTTTAATAGATGATTTACATTAAAAAAAAAGCTGGAATCAAATAATGAGAACTAGCAAGTTAGTCTATTAAAAAAAAAAGAAACTGAGAATATAATAGCTTTATGTAAATTGTACCATATTAGCTTCTAGAAAGAAATTTATAGCATCTTGAAAGATTATGATTAAGACTGGGGGGAGGTGGTCACATAAAAAGTCCCAGATCTAGAGGGCTGTACGGGCAGCAGTCAGATATGATGCCTAGCTGCGTTCTGCAGAACAGGCAGATCATTTGATGAAAGGAAGAAGGAAGACGGTGTCTGGAATCAATTTTCCCACCATAAGATATGTTATTCCCAATTGGTGCTGCCGATTGATAGATTGGAGATCCCCAACATGGCGAAACAATTTTTCCCCTCCTCCCCAAAGACGCATGCCCCTAGAAAATTCCCTCAGCCTTCTCTGGGACCCTCCCCGACTTACTTTTTTAATGTCAAAACCTTATTTGGCCTTATTTTAATTTTTATCCACTTAAAAAGGCAATCCATTAGCCTCCAGATTCACCCATCCTTGGATCCCACATTGGCACCATCGGCGGCAGTTCAGGGCTGCTTGTTAAGTGTGCCCAGGTGCTCTGAAAAAAAGGAAAGGGAGGTAAGCTGGGGATGGCGATGACTGTATCTGCCCAGGATGCTGACCTAAGCCACTTAAAGGCCTAGCACTACATTCACACAATATACTAAGTGTGGCTTGTTTTAACTTTGGTCAGTTCTTTTATGGCTTTGTATACCAGGTGATCCCATCTCATATAAGTCAGTGTACTGTGTGCGGTTGGAAATGGGCTAATCCATTAAGTGTGTTATGTGAATTCCACCGGTGACAGTCCTGGGGGGCAAAGAGAGAATGGCACGGATCGAGCTGATTTGGACAGCCACATTGTGAATGGCCAAGCTCCTTCCTTCCCACCCACCGCAGCCATTTTCTCAGAGCACCCACCGCACGCTCTCAAAATGTTCAATGCGCCTGGTGGTGCAGAATCTGCACGGGGGGACCCCAAGGAGGAGGACTGCATGCCGCCTGCAGGGCCTGGCTGTGCCTCTGCTGGGCGACTGCCTTGTCTATAGAACTAATTGCCCCCAGAAATGAAGTTCTCACATAAGAGGGAGGGGGGACGCTGGGGCAGCAAGAAGTCCTGCCTGCGATTCTCCAAGAATCTCAGAGTGATTTTCCATTTCAGGATAGCCAGCAAAGGCTGAAGCCCATGTGCTGGGCGGGACTTGTAATTTATCGCACAGCAAAAACACAGTGGTGTCATTGGAACAAGGCCCCCCAAGTGACAGAATAAGTAGGAGGGCCTTGAGGTCATATTGCAAGAATGATGGCAGCCAGGGGTGTGCTGGTGAATGTTTCAGGACCAGCTCTGCCGGTTCCACGGCGCCACCCTGCTAGCTGCGGAACAGCTGATCAGGGCACTCGGCATGGTGGCTCAGCTCTGCTCTCAGCTGGCTTGCAAAATTCCAGAAAATCTAACAGCTGGTCCTCGCCAGTTGGCATGAGCCGGCTCCAGCCCACCACTGATGCATTTCTTTAAGTCAGACCACCCCACTGGCCTGCACAATTGCAGAGGGTCTCATCCACCCAGTCGCCAGTGGACCAAGCTGCAGTTTAGGGAAACCTCTCTGCGTTTCACAAGTCACTGTGGAATAGTAGTTCGAGTGGCCCAGCGCTGGGGAGAACCAGGTCCAAACAGTGATTCTGCCATGAAACTCATCCCAAACGATTCACTGCCTCTCAGCCTCGCTTCCTCGCAAGGTTCTTGCAAAGATGAGAAGCGGTAAATAAAGTGGTGGCTGGATTACCTGTTTTTTTAAATCCAGCCACCGCTTCATTGACTGCTTCTCATGAAAGAGTAATATTAAGGAATCTAACAACAGTGCAATGAAAGAATTCATATGCAGTCCATCCAAATAGCACGTTATTCGGCAGATTAAAAATATTATTGATAAATAAGCAAGCTGTCCTCCTGGGAGGATGAAAATGATAAGTAAAGGCTTCAGACTGAGACTTGTAACATGCAGCCCCTTGCCCGTGAACCTTTGGGACACTGATTCTGTAATCTTCCCTAAGCCGCTGTCTTCATGCATGTCACTGGCAAAGCAGCAAAGGTGAGTGGAAGGGGAAGGGAACTAGGGTGGGCCTCCTTCTCCTCCTCCTCCTCCTCTTCCTCCTCCCTCCCTTATAATAGAAGGCTATGTGGGAAAGTATAGCTTGACTGTTATTTAGAGATAAGCGTAAACAGACATAAATAAGGAAGGGCAGGCAGGCATGGGATCAGAGGCCCGTCGGCCTATTGGGTGCATTGCTGGAATGGATGGTAACCTTATGCGGTAAAGGTCATGTGACATCATACCCCAGGAGCCAAGAGTTAATTTAGCAGCCCCACTCCAGCAGATTCTCCTAAATAGGGAAGCTGTGGCGATAGATAGGGTTTCATCCTGACTGTGTTTATGGAGATGCTCTCGCAGCTCCTTCAGCGGCAGCAGCAGCCTCCCAGCGGGCTTCTGCCTTGGAAGGGCCTTGCCCCCACCTTCGCCACGCCAGCTGGAGCACCAGAAGACTTCTCTCCTGACAATCGACAATCGGGGGGTGTAGTCAGAGGGAGAAAACGGTGCTTCTCTTTCCCAGCAACATTGCCCCCCACATTGGCTGCCCACTGTATTGATTCAGCCCTGTGCAGAAAGATGAGGGTTGCAGTCCCCCACATTTCTAGGGACCCAGGTTAGTGGAGGTTGGCCTCACCTGCAGAAATATAACATGTCAGTCATGCAGACGCAGCCAAAGCCAGCTGTCACGATGGCAGTGGTGGGGAAAGAATGGTTGTTATTGCACTTTGCTGCTAGCAATTAAAATGTCCTGAGTGTTGGCCAGCTCTACCGTACAGGTTTGTTGCTGTGGGGATAAATTGATGGGTGAGCTGTACTCTGTGTTGCTTTAGCTCCTCAAGAACAAAGGCAGGGTACACATTTAATTTCAAAAAAACCTTACCCAGCTAAAAATAAATAAATCGCATCATAGCTTTATGCAATATGAAACAGCAGGTGAAGGTTGTGGCCAAAAGGGCCTTCAGACAATTACATCTTGTGCACCAATTGCAGCCATTTCTGGAACAGGAAGCTTTTCTCTCAATGACTCATATGTTGGTTACCTTGTGGACGGACTATTGTGGCTTGGCCTGCTTGGGGCTGCCCTTGAAGGCCATTCAGGACTTCGGCATAGTTCAGCATGCTGCAGCTCAAATACTTATGGGGGTACCTAGGTTGAGCCATGGACCAGTACCACTACAGGATCCGCACTGGCTGCCAATTAGCTTTTGTGTGCAATTCAGTGCCAGTTATCACCTCTAAAGCCCTACTTCGCTCAGGGACTGGATATCTCATCTTCTCCAAGTTCAGTCTGCCTGCCTGCCCGTTGAAATCTCATAGAGAAGACTTGCTAAGTCTTGAACCTGAGGGGTTTACTACTTTCGTATGCAGACACAACATCCCAACAGAGAGAGAAAAGAAGCAGAGCCTGTGTCATGACAGGCACCACACTGCTTTTATGTTTTCCATGGACATCTGCAGGATCTTGTCGCTTTGGTCAGAATGATGAAAGCAGCATCACACTGCAGGCTCCGCCCCTTGCATGTGACATCACCACCCAGGTACAAAGGGGCAGGGCTTGCAACACCATGATGCTGTTGTCATTCTGCCCTTCCCTTGCCTGCCCGTGGATGCTAGGGTACAAGATGTTCGGTTAGTTTGTAGCTGTGTGTTATGTCAGCCCAGGCAGCTGGGTTAATTTAGTTAACTCTGGGCTAGTTGCTGTGCAAGTACAGCCTCTGACTTCAACACCAGCCATTCTTTTGTTTATTTGGTTTGGTTCACAGGATTTGTGCAGAACTCTGACAAAGAGTTCTGGAGAACATGAAAGTTTGCAACAGAGGCCTAGTTGGGTCACTGTATGTAGGAGGCAGAGACTCTGTTATGACAGCATTCTTCCCTCTGGCTAACTAAATCCATTGTATTTAGCTTTCATGACATTCTGAAATACAAACTAACCACACAGGCTGGGTTTCATACAGGCTAAAATATAGTTGGCCAGTTTGAATAGCATACCAATGGTGTGTCATGTGAATCCAGAAAAGTGGGTTGTTTGAACCATAATTAAGTTAAACTGGGTCCATACATCATGCTAAGCCATAAACCATGGCATTAATCTAAAGTGAAACAAATCACATTGTGGCTTAGCATGATGCCTGTGACCGAAAACAGATTCTAGGCCACTGTCCCCTTTATTCCTTTGTTTTGCTTGCCCTCTGCCTAGTAAGAGTTCTAGAGCTGGCTGGGGAATGCTGGAAGTTGAAGTCCACCCGTCTTAAAGTTGCCAAGGTTGAGGAACCCTGTTCTAGAGAACTCAAAGGTTGGACACAATTTGGGGATTTTTAGTTGACCTAATAAAAGTGCTGTCTTAAACCGGAATTGGAAAGTCTGCTAACAGCCAACATAACTATCTTTGCTTTTTGTTTTTCCCTTAAGTGTTTAAATCTAGGGGCACTGAATGGGCAGAGATTAGAAGCTTGCAGATTTATAGTTTAGGATCCCAGGTAGACTTCTCCTTCCTCCCTCATTACCCCAAAATTCTATTGCTCCTTACATTTGAAGGAGCGGCATTTATGGAAGCATTGAATTCATGTACATCATCATAATAAAGATGTGATTTTAGTTATAGTTTAATTTTTAACTATGTGTATGAACTGTTCTGGAAAGCTTTGCCATGGCATGTAGCATAGAAATAACAGACATGAATAAATAGGGGGTTGCCTCATTCCTTGCTGGGTTCCCACAGCTAAAAAGCTTGTTTTTAATTTCCAAAACAGAACTGGTATCTAGATTTTGTCTAAGCTTACAGGACCTGATTTCTGGAAATCCCAGGTAGCTGTTCCTGGTTTTTAATGCCTTTGTAAGCTACGAAAGTTGATGAAAGACCAGCAAGTAAGGGGGGAAAGATATGTGTAAAATGGCTCTATGTACATTGTTAACCAAGCTGTTCAGTTTAGCTTACCTTCTGAATAGAATCTCAAAGTTAAAGCAGGAGTGAGGACTAAAAGTCCCACCTACCTGGGCCGAAAGGTCTTAAAGGAAGTCACCATATGCAAGGGACCACAACTGCTTTCTCCTGCAAATGTATTAAGAGATTCAAAGAGACTTGAGTGCAGAAAGAGATTACAGAGCAAGAGGCAGCTTTTTTTTGCTCCATCGAGAACGAGCAAACATCACAGTTGCCTACTCGGCTGTATCAGGAGGTTTAAAAGATGCGTGTTTGTAGCGATAGCAATGCAGGAGGCCATTGTTACTATTCCACCAACAGGACTGGTTCTTCTGAAAACTGGGGAGGGGGAGCTGCAGCCCCCAGTTTCATTACTGTTTTTCAGGATGCTCCAGTTCTCTGGACTACATACTCCTTTGGGAGAAGCCGCCTCTTACTATCAGGTTTCATGTCTTGTAGTAAGGCATGGGTTATTTTCATCATGATTTGTTGAACAAACCACAATGGCTGGCTTCATGCATTCTGCTACATCCTAGCAAAATAAACCAGATGAAGCTTAGTACAGTTTGAACCCAGACGGGTTGCGTGTGCAAGGAAGGAGGGAAGAAGGCTATGCCAGAGTCACTTGGGTCTTATTCCTCCTATTGTCCCACTTAAACTTAGTTGACTTTTCTCATAAGATAATGATTCCTCATAAGATAGATTCCTTCACCTGTTTCACCCATGCTAGAGGAAATGCTTCATCTGTCAACTTTCCTGCCTATTCCTGTACAGCCGTGCTTCCTTGTGACCATCTCCTCCCTGGTGGGATTTCAAGTCTGACATCCAAGAGGGAGGAGGTGGTAGAGGAAAATCCCAGAGGGAGACGTGCAGCAGGAGCAGTAGTTGCTGCTCTTCCGTTTTTTAATGGAGAAATATGACAGTACAACATCCCTCTTCTAACGGTAGCCTGGCAATTGTTCCCTCTCATTCTGCTTTAGAGCTGAACAGTGAGTTTAATCAGTCATTTTAAAAGTTTAGGATTGTGAAATTATCCTCAACAGGCAGGATAGACTTTAAAACCTTCTTTTTTTAAATAGATGCAGAAGAAATATTATCCAACAGTTTGGACATTAACCTTGGACAGAGGAACTTCTGAAATAAGTCACTCTTCCGGTGTAAGTCAACCTCAAAAATATACTCTTTTATCAGTGTCCAGTAACAGAAGCTTGAAAAACAAGCAGGAAGCAAAGATATCAAGGGTTCCTTGTTCTAGCTATTTCAGGACTAGGCACCCTCCACCCTGAGAAAAACTTGGCTAATAACGTTCCTGTAAAATTGTCTAATTCTTTAGAATTGAGGGGAATATTGCAATCTATATTTTCACGTGGCAAATTCAAATTCTTCATTATGCTTTTCAGTGTGGGATTAAGGGACAGAGAAAGACTTTAATTACTTTCATTTGTTCATAACTTGCAGCTTGCTCATTTCTCAAGATGATTCCCATTTTTAGTTGGTTATGGGGTATGAGTTCTTTTGATTTTCATGCTGAATTGGCTTTGTGATATCACTAGCTTTGTATTTGCCTCATGATTACCAATCAACTGGTAATATTTCTCTAGAATAAGATGATCAGTTGATGAGAGGGTGTACAAAACCAGTTTTGGATTACATAAGCAGTTAGTAAACATGATGAGAAAGAATGTCAGGCAATATTTTCTCCCCACTCCCCAAGGTATGTTGGGCTTCCCATAGAAACATGGGAGGATGGGCCCACTGCTTTTCATCCACCACTGTTCTTCTTTTGTGATTTGACCTTTCTTGGTTAGGTCATTAAGGATTCTCTTGACCAGGTTGTCTAGTTCCTATATTGGGTTGATCTTTACTGGGATGTAGGTTTCTTTGTCCTTCAGTAATTCTTTGGCTTTTTGTATGTATTGTGATCTGTCCATGATAACCGTGGTTTGGCCTTTGTCTGCTGGGAGGATGATGATGGTTTGGTCCGTTTTTAGGTTAGTGAGGACTGCTCTGTTCTCTGCTTTGAGTTGGTTCTGATTCTGTGTTCTTCTGGTCTGCAGTATGATTGTCTGCCTTATGCTTTCTTGGGTCTCTGTGGCAAGTCCTGTAGTTTTAAGTGCTGCTTCTAAGGCTGCAAAGAATTCTAACTAATTAGCATCATCTGTGTTATAGTTGAGGCCTTTCTGGAGGATATTGTGTTCTGTGGTGGATAGTGAGCAACTGGACATGTTGACAACCCATTTGGGTTCTGATTCCTCTTTGCTTCTGGGGTTTAGCTTGAGCAGTTGGTTTTGGAGTTTTGTTTTCCTTTTCTCAGCTTATATTAGAGATGTAGTCTTGATGGTGGTTGTCAACATTTTTCTGTGTTCTGAGGTCATGGTTTGTTACAGTTGCTCCTTGAGGTTGTCTGTGGTGTGCTGGTATTTGTTTAGGTGAGCATCCTAGACCAAGTTAAATCCAAAAATGCTAGGGAATTCCTGGAAGCTTGCCATTCAGACACATCAGCCATCAACAGACACATAGAAATAAACCACATTTACACACCATTCAAAAGAAATGGTAAGAAAGCTAAGAAGGAAACAAAAAGACCAGAACACTTCCTCTGTAGCAGCCTACATCCAGATAAGCAGAGATTAACACTAGACAAATAATCAAGCAGAAAACAATACCCTAATCAAGGAGCTACCAAGGAGAAAAC